ATGCATGAGGTTGTTGATGTTGATCATGAGTATTTCTGAGCAGCCCTGGTTTTCTGGCATTGCTAATCTTTTACTCGTAGCTTCGGCTGTATCCAAAATATAGAGTTGAGCAAACTTCCAAGAAACGCCATCCGAAAGATGTAAAGTTCCAGTACGGTGATAAACTTGTCCGTGTATTCTAAAACAGTATGGCCCATATCCTGATGGTGATGCAATATTTGCACCCATGGAAGCAAAAGCAAAAGAACAATTTATGGAATGAATATTTTCCATGAAATTTTTACTGTCAGGATCTTCATTTGTCATTAATCTTTTTAAATATGCCGGGTAATCTGGAAAATGTATATCATTTGGACAGATTTTCCCTTTGCTACAACATCGAGTAAATTTCCCATCAGATGGTTTTTCATCCGAGAAATTTAGTGAGAGGCAAAATTCACATCGAATAGTCATTCCACCACAACTATGTCCGAGGTTTGCATCCTCATGTACTCCATTTTCGCTGAGAAGGCAGTTCCTACCGGTATTGGTAGTACTTGTTGATGACTGTTCTCTCGACATGTTCTGTCGTCGCCACCGCCTTCTTTCAACCTTAAAGGCACGTTAGTCTTTAGACATTTTCTGTCGATAACGCCAGTGTTTTTCGGCATCAGAGCGACATTTTTCCAGTAGTTGGTGTTCAGATACATCCTGTCCTATATAATAAAAGAGAAACATGCAAATTAGCTGCCCCTCCACTACACTCAAGCCACGCCCACCAGCCAATCTCGGCTCCACTGATCCTGGGGCAGTGAGGCCTCTGGGCTCCACTGATCCTGGGGCGGCAAGGCCTCTGGGCTCCGCTGATCCCGGGGCAGCGAGGCCTCTGGGCTCCGCTGATCCCAGGGCGGCGAGGCCTCTGGGCTCCGTAGGCTGCTTCTCAGAGCCAGAAATTTCGCCATAGGCCTCTGCCTAGGACAGGACCTCTGCACCCCTAGGGTGCATAAACACACAGGGCTTCCATCAGGCTCCACTGATCCCAGGCCAGGAGGCCTCTCGGCTCCACTGATCCCTGGGCCCGGGAGGCTTCTCAGCTCCGCTGATCCCGGGGCCGGGAGGCCTGCGGCTCCGCTGATCCCGGGGTGGGGAGGCCTCTCTGCTCTTCGGCTTCAGGGCTGTTTGGCTTTGCTCTACTGCTTGGAGCCTGAGTATGCAGATTAACCGCCATCTTTTAGCTTCTATAATTAAAACATTGTATCTTTTGGAGCTGTTGCTTCAGGAGCTCAGAGCCCCGCAGCTGCAGGCGGGAACCTTGGTTTCCTCTATCGCTGGGGCAACCAAGCATCCTGTTCTCAGCTGCCTGGCTGCCTGCCGCCATCTTGGCTGACAGTTAATTTGCATATACTCACTGATTAGCCAATGAAAAGGGTAGCGGTCGTACGCTAATTACCATGTTTCTCTTTTATTAGTGTAGATACTCATTAAATTGCTGTGGGCCAAATATTGTTATAGTAAACTAAAATGTACTTGGTTCACTTTCTTCTATCCTATATAATAAAGAGATAATATGCAAATTGACTGTCACGCCCTCACAAGATGGTGGCACCCACAGCAGGGGCGGGGCCAGTTGCTCCCCACACCTGCCACCAGAGTCCCCTCACCCCGCCAGGGGCCTTGGGTCCTCCTGCACCCCCCACTAACTGAAGCTCAGGCAAGCAGGGCCAGCCAAGGCTTGTGCTTCCGGCAGTGGCAGCAGCAGAGGTGTGATGGGAACATCGCCTTCCCCTGATCACTGGGTCGCCTCCCGCCCCTGAGGGCTCCCAGACTGTGAGAGGGGACAGGCCGGGCTGAGGAACCCCCCCATCCAGTGCATGAATTTTCATGCACCGGGCCTCTAGTTTTTGTATAAGAGTACTTTGTGTTTTCACTAGTTTTTTTTTTTGCGTGTGTTTTAAATATATTTTTATTGATTTCAGAGAGGAAGGGAGGAGAGAGAGATAGAAACATCAATGATGAGAGAGAATCATTGACCAGCTGCCTCCTGCATGCCCCCTACTGGGGACCAACCCTGCAACCCAGGCATGAGCCCTCGACCAGAATGGAACCTGGAACCCTTTAGTCCACAGGTTCATGCTCTATCCACTGAGCCAAACTAACTATGGGCTGTTTTTACTAGTTTTTAAATATTATGTCATTTTTTATATCCTTGGTTATCTTTATTTCCTTTTATCTTGGTCTTTGAGGTAAGGCTCATTTACATAATTTCAAGAATACATTCACACACATCCATCCACATGCATCCACTTTTATGCACATAATGATGTGGATACCTGAAACTTTAGACTGCCTTTTATGGCTTCATTTAGATCTTCAATAAAAATGTTACCTGAAATATTTGTTTAGTTTTTCATGTGCAGGACAACCCTTAAGGATTTAAATGTATATACTCTATTTTTACTATTCCCAGATAGAAAATAGAAAGGGGAAATGTGAAAAAAGCACTTGATTTTCTTAATGTTTGAAATTCCAGAAAGCACTATATAATATTCCAAAGCCTCTCTGTTCAGTTCTAACT